GGTTGTTCTCTGTAGGTTGGGCACACTGTGAGATGCTGGAGGTGAAACTATTTCCTTGATTGCTGTAGGAATGGTTGGATCCTGGGGAGGTAGAGGTGAGCGAGCAGCCCTTTACTGCCACAGACAAAATGGACAACAGAGTTAGTGTAGTATCAGAATGGCTTACCTGCCTCCTGTATAAGGTGGGGGGGGGGTTTAAAATAGTTGGCAGTCCACTAATATCCGGCTTGATTTGAGCTGAGTCCTGATGAATTACATTAATAGATAATGTACAGCCCTTTCCCTGATTATCAGCTGAATCAATCTGACAACCCAGTATCTATGAATGAAGAGAGTTTAAACTACCTTTGAGGAAAACCAAACACACACTGTGAATCTTCCTTCTAGGATTCTCTGAATTGTCCTGTTTTTACTTGTCATCACAACTGTGCCATTTTTATGATTAGGTGACACCGTCTGTGAGTGGACACTAATTTCTGGAGATTCACAGTGCTACTGTAAACTACCAATCAGAATAGGGGCTTATGGAGAGTCAGCTGATGCATAGTATCTTGACCCAAGCAATACTGCCTCACTGAAGAAAAGCAGAGATTAGTGCCACAATCAAATATTTGAAAGATGTGGGCAGTTGATTCCTACCCCATCCTCATTTTTCTTTCCAATATGGCTGGCGCTGAAGATAGATGAGTTCTAGAAGATGACAGGTGGTTACTTCAATTACAGCTGCTGCTTCAAATGTGATTTTCTTGCTGGAGCCCATCAACATACTCTAACACCTGGTATGCAATTATTTATCTAAAAAATGATTTTTTCTTCTTCTTTTTTATTCCACTGAGCAGAAGATACGAGGACTTTAAAAAGGTATTATTGCAACTCCAAAATTTGACCCAAGATTCCATCAGCATGTAGTTTCACTATATTGATTACATTGTACTGATAGGAACTAGAAAGCATGTATCTTAAATGTGATGATATGACATGTTCATGTCATTCACTCATTCATTTATTCAGAAATGGCTATTGAGTGCTTATTTTGTGTCATTCACCTTTCTAGGTGCTAAAAATATAGCAGTAAAAAAAAGAACAAGTTCCTCATGAGTTAACATCATAGAGGGGAGAGACTGATATTAAACACATAAGCATGTAAGTACGTCACATAACAAATTCTGATGAATACTATGCAGAAAAATAAAATACAGTCAAGGAAAATAGGGGAAGTCAGAGAATGGGACATTGTAACTTAGTATGTAACTTATTATACCAATAGAGACTTGATGGAAGAGAGGGAGCACAAAGTGAAAATATTTGGGAGAAGAAGTTTCCAAACATAGGGAAGAAGAAATGCAAAACCTGTAAGTCAGTATAGCAGAGGCACAGTGAGTGAGGTGGGGGTAGGGACAGAGGCAGCAGATCATAAAGGTCATTGTAGACCATCCTTGAGTGAATTGAGAAATGATGGATGATTTTGTGCAGAAGTGTGTGATGTAATCTGAATTATATTTTTAAAAGATCATTGAGGTTAACGTGTAATTAATACACTAGGTAGAGAAGAGGATATAGTTAGAAGACAAACATTGAGGTGATTAAAAAGAGACCTGATGGTGTCTTGAAACAGGTTGGTAGTAGTGGGAGAGCGTGAGAACTAATTACACTTTGGATATGTTTTTAAAGTAGAGCTAGATAATTTTGTTAATGGATTGAATTTCTGGTATAAGAGAAAGAGAAGAATCGAAGTTTTCGATCTGAAGTTAGCCACAGCAGAAAATGGCTACCACTCTTTGCGCTAGAGGAACCACAAAATAAGGTAGAATGTCAAGAGTTAAAAATTGGAGCCATCACGGATATAGAGCCAAGATGGGATATCCCAATGGATTGGGGGGGGGGGCGATGCAGCTGGAGAAGAGGCAGAGGAGAAGCACTTGCAGCTTGAGATCCCATAGGAAACAGAGTGAGGGGATAGAGATAATCTGGCTTTTATTTTACTCCTGCCCTCCAAGCTTATGCCAGTGCTTTTCACTGGCTGAAATGGTCTGGAAGTCAGAATGTAAGGAAACCGGGGAAGGCAGGGAATGAATCTCAGAGCGAGCAGACTGGGGAACAAGAGACCACAAGGCAGTTGGATGTGTGAATTTGAAATCCTAACCTCTAACATGATAGGATTAGAAGATGGGGCCTCAGGGAGGTGCTTAGGTGATGAGGGTAGACACCCTCATGGATAAGATTAGTACTCTTATAAAAGAGACCCCACAGGGCTCCTTAGCCCCTTCAGCCCTGTGAGGACAGAGCAAAAAATCAGCAATCTGCAATCTGGTTGAGGGCTGATTGCAGAACCCCACCATGCTGGCACCCTGATCTTGGACTTCCCAGCCTTCATACTGTTAGAAATAAATGTCTATTGTTTATCAACCACCAAGTCTATGGCAGTTTGCTATAGCAGTCCAAATGGACTAAGACCATATGTAAACTGAATTTTTAAATTAAAAGTTGTTGTTTTTAAAGCCATGGAACTCAATTAGATAACTTAGGGAGTGAGTGAAGAAAATGAAGAGAAGAGCTCTGAGAATAGAAACCTGGGCCCTCCAATATGAAGAGAATGCTCTATGTGGAGGAACCAGCAAAGGACTCTGAGAAGGAGTGCACAGGGAGCTGGGAGAAGATCTGCAAGAGTCATGTCCTGAAAGCTATGTGTAGGATGTGTTTAAGGAAGATGGTGGCCATCGATGTCAAATGCTGCTCACAGGACAAACAAATGGGGCCTGAGAATTGAGTCAGTGGTTTTAACAATATACATGTCACTGGTGATCTTAATAACAGAGCCAGGACTAGGGTAAGGCAAGTGAGGTACTTGCATTGGGTGCCAAAAATCTCAGTATTTTAATGCAATTAAATGATATCTTAATGTGATGTTAAAAAAATACAAATTAATGCAATAAAAATCCAAAATCAACACAATATCAACAGTTTAAATATGGACAGAATTGGTAACAGTACTGTGCTGAGTCATATCAGAGTCTGAGGCAAAAGGAAACATCAATATTGAGCCCCCCTCTTTTTTTTGAGCCTGTCTTTATTTAAACATTTGATAAGTTCATTGTGACTTTTTGCATTAATTTAGATTTTTAAAATACCCGTGTGAAAATTATCTTGATTAATTAATTTTTGCTGTCCCTTAAATTTTATATCCAATGTAAGGACCTCACTCACCTGAGCCTAGCCCTGTCCCTGCTTAATCAGAACCAAGCCGGATATTAGTGAAGAATCTTGATTAGCAGAGGTACTATTTTAAGGCAAAGGAATATATAGTGCATAGTGGAGGAAGGAAATCATAAACCCTGGTTACAACCACATCTCTCACCAGTTTCAGAACTGAAGACTGAAGTCTGTGCCTATAGTTTCTTCATTGTGTTGTGAATATTTTTAGTCAGTTGAACTAGTTTTCCATTTTTTTTTTTTTTTGGTTATGTTCTTTTCCTATTCTGTTTTTTTAAATTTTATTTAATTATGTTATATTAGTCACCATACATTACATCATTAGTTTTTGATGTAGTGTTCCATGATTCATTGTTTGCATATAACACCCAGTGCTCCATGCAATACGTGCTCTTCTTAATACCCATCACTGGGCTAACCCATCCCCCCACCTCCCTCCCCTCTAAAACCCTCAGTTTGTTTCTTGGAGTCCGGAGTCTTTCATGGTTTGTCTCCCCCTCTGATTCCCCCCCTTCATTTTTCCCTTCCTTCTCCTAATGTCCTCCATACTATTCCTTATGTTCCACAAATAAGTGAAACCATATGATAATTGATTTTCTCTGCTTGACTTATTTCACTTAGCATAATCTCCTCCAGGTCCATCCATGTTGTTGCAAATAGTGGGTATTCATCCTTTCTGATGGCCAAGTAATATTCCATTGTATATGAACCACATCTTCTTTATCCATTTGTCTGTTGAAGGGCATCTCAGCTCTTTCCACAGTTTGGCTATTGTGGACATTGCTGCTATGAACATTGGGGTGCAGATGGCCCTTCTTTTCACTACATCTGTGTTTGGGGTAAATACCCAGTAGTGCAATTGTTGGGTCATAGGGTAGCTCTATTTTTAATTTTTTGAGGAACTGTGGAGGTTCCTATTCTAATTAAAAAAAAATTTATTTATTAGAGAAAGCATGTGAACATGAACGTGAGCAGGGGAGGGGCAGAGGGAGAGAATCTCAAGCAGACTCCCCGCTAGTGGGGAGCCCCACACGGGGCTCAATCCCAGGACCCTGATATCATGACCTGAACCAAAAATCAAGAGTGGGTGCTTTACTGACTAAGCCAACCAGATGCCCCATTTCCTATTCTAATTTATAGGAAGTTACCTGTAGTGAAATTTACAGTTTAGCTCACTGGTTGTAGAACATCCAGTTAAAATAGTAAAAAAACATAGGGAGGGTAATTATAATCAAGATGAAGTAAGTTGAGTCTTTGGGAGGAGGGGAACCCTTTTGTGACTTGTCAGGAAAAGTTGTATTGTGTCATTAAAATTTTTGTTTTGGAATGATAAATATGAAAAGGAGTTTATAAATGGATCCTGGGTAATGAAAGTTGTGAACTCTCAAACCTTTGAAAGGCATGAGACAATGGTTAGGAGGCACTAGCTGCTTACTTTATGGAGAACTGAATGGGACATAGAATCCTCTTGACTGATCCCTAGAAGCTAGTGATGTGGCTTGGGTCCTAGGCTCATCCAAGTGGCTTCTCTGTTTTGGCTTTGAAATCTTTAGGGAGGGACATAGACTCATAGTTAAAGAGTTTTAAGGCTTCGGTGTTGAATATCCAACTCTGGTGGTTACTGTGGCATCAGATGACTTCTCATAAAACTGTACCCATGGTGAGACTTGGATGCATTCTTCCCTTGTTCTGAGTCTCATATTCCAGCTTTCTCTCAATTGTGTTAGTGACTGATGTACTTTTCAATTGGATATTTGTTCATTTGCTATCCAAACTGGTTTCTTTTGTTTGCAGTCAAGAATGAAGACTGGCACACCCATACACCCAGATTCTGAAGAAAAGGTAATAAATAATTTCAGCAAAGATTCATAAACTTAAAGCCAAAAGTAAAACAAGTCTAAAACAAGATATAAAGATGTTATAGAATGACTTCAGAAGTCAGTTTGTAAACCCCATTAAGACCACTCCCACTTATGGGGATCTAGTCTACAGAAATAAAATCACAGTAGTTAAGGGCATGTATATTTCAGGATTTTTTTTGACAGGACTGTTAATAACAAAACTGGAAAAAAATCAAACTACTCAAATAAGTGAACAGTTAAATTATGGTATACTCATTCTAGGAAGTAATATACAGCCACTGAAAATAGTAAATTAGGTTGATGTAAATTGTCTTTTAGGAAATATTTTTTTAGAGATTAGAGAACTATATGTAAAATGATCCAATTTTTGTAACTATGTCAGTGTTCAAGGTAGAAGCAGAAAAAAAACCCCAAACAACCAACCTGGAATCCTATTTTAGGGAATTGGCTTTTAATAATCACCCACCAAAAGAAATAAATATTAGATTGATCCAGTACACATAGCTCATGCAAACACAATCATACTCTTACTATATGCAAAGTAGGTTGATTTCTTTATTCTTCCTATTCTATCCTATTTTATTTTTAAAAATACTGATTATGACCAACTAATTGACTTCATGGTCTGCTGACTGGTTAATATTCATGATTTGAAAAACACCGTTTTTCACATGTATACCTCATCTTGTCTACCTCTTACTCTCTGCCATCACTTTCTTGTTTTCTTCAGGTGATGTCAAGAATTGATTCCTCCTGTAGCATCCTGTGGTAAGAGAATTTCACAACTTTAACTTAAAAATCAATAAGAAGATTCATTTTTGGTAAGATGCCGCTAGATAGCAGCCTTATAACCTCTGACTACCATGACCAAATCACTGTGACTTGGAGCATTATTAAAACTAAAAACTAAAACACAGTTGTTCAGTCCCAGCAGGGAAATATGGGAGTGCTAATCCATTTTTATTTTGCAGTTATTAAAGTTCTCTAACATAATTCTCCATTATAAACAACTGGTGAGACAGAGCCATCAGGAATATATTTACATGAGGGACCTTGAGAATATCCTAGGGAAGAACTCAAGATAAAAGAAGAGAATTAAGACCCATACATACAAAGTTAGTTCAGAGACCTCTCATTTAAAATAGTGTATAATGGGGTGCGTGGGTGGCTCAATTGTTAAGCCACCAATTCTTTATTTTATTTTATTTTATTTAATTATGTTATGTTAGTCACCATACATTACATCATTAGTTTTTGATGTAGTGTTCCATGATTCATTGTTTGTGTATAACATCCAGTGCTCCATGCAATACATGCCCTCCTTAATACCCATCACTGGTAAGCCACCAATTCTTGATCTCAACTCAGGTCTTGATCTCAGGGTCATGAGTTCAAGCCCCGTGTTGGGCTCCATGCTAGGTGTGGAACCTACTTAAAACAACCAAACAAACATAAAATAGTGTATAGCTTAAGGTCTATTTGTATATTATCTCCTGTATTCTCACAAAATTGTCTATAAAGCACAGAAACAAAGAAGAAAACTCATAACACCTTAAAATAAGTTTGAGAGTCAACCTAGTTTCAGAATCAGAGAGAAATTTCCACTAACTATAAGGTCTATGAAATTGAATTAAGAACCCCTATTTTGGCTCATCCAGTGACTCAGCAAGCCTGCCCATTGTTTTATTTCTGTGATTGGCTTTCTTCTGGGAATGCTTCCTTCTGGGAATGCACACATTTTAAACCTGTCACTAGGAAAGTACAGTACAGTTAGGCTGAGGATATTCTATCCTTATGAGATTATTCCTGTAATTTATAATGATGATAATGTTAGGATAGCATAAAATGCTTTTTTAGACTTTATTTCTTAGACTATGTCAAGAACACTTTACCAGCTTGACATTTTGAAAGATTGATGTTAGAACACATAGGAAGCTCTCCTTTTTGTGCCACAGGTGACCTAAAATGAGTGGTGATTGATGTCATCGGTGTAAATCATCTTGGGTGTAAAAGAAGTGGTGGGTATGGTACAAGTTAAGACCCATCGTGGTCACCACCACTCTTCATGTATCAGGGTTTGCTTGGGAAGACTTCCACAATGTCACACAGTTTACTGTGACTTTACTAGAGGATGCCTACCAATCAAGGACCAGTAAGAAGGGTAGAGGCATGTGGTACCTGTGTTCTCTTTATCCCCTGGAGGTAACACCAGCGCCTAGGTGAACTAATAGAAACAATAGATATGTGTTAACATGGAGGGTCTCCATTTTCCTGTCACTCTGCCTTCTTATAGGGCAATTTTGAGAGCATCACTCTTGCTGAGCATGCAGACACACCGCTGGGTCACCAGGAAGTCTGGATTTAGAAGCCCGCTGAAACCTTACAGCTTAATAGCTAGGTACTTTGGGGACTCCAGAAGAAGTTGAAGTCCCATCTCCAGGGGGAAGAAAGCCACTGGTAACATGGGAATTGAAATTTAGGTATAGTTTCTTTGGCTAGAGAAGGGGAGGATGATGATATCAGCTGGCTCACTGTTCAGGCAATTCAGGGAGACCTAGTTGCTGTATCTCAGATGAGAGAAACAGTCATCTCAAGACAAACTTCTTTTTGCCCAACCCCTATATTGAGATGGAGAGGGGAAAACCTTAAGTTTGGACTTTGCAATATTACAAAAAGTGAGATCTCACTAGCAGAGGGCTGAAAAAAAATTGCTTTTCTTTAAATTACCCTATATATTTGTCCACATGTTTACTATTTTCTGTGTTTTTTATTTTCATATGTAGACCCATTTTTTTTCATTTAGTATCATTTTCCTTCCTCCTGAAGGACTTTGTTTTAGAAGGTACTTTTCCTTGTTACAGAATTCTAGATTGACAGTTTTCTTCTTTTTATGTTTTAAAGATGTTGTTCCACTTGCATTGCTTTTGGTGAGAAACCTACCATCATTCTTATCTTTGTTTCTCTGTATATAATGCATTTTTTTCCCTTCTGGATGCTTTTAAGATTTTAAATTAGTCCATGTTCTCCAGAGGAAGAATCTGCTATTAATTTCATTCAGTTTAATTTTTTTTAATCTCAAACATTGAATTTTTTTATCTCAGAAATTCAGTTTGGGTCTTCTAAAAAAATCTTTCATATCTACTTAAAATGCTGACTCTTACCTCTACCTTCTTGAGTATATGAAATATAGTTATGTGCATGCTCTAATGTCCTTATCTACTAATTCTCTGACATTTCTGATCTGTTTTTATTGATTGACTTCTTTCTCCTCATTATGGATCAAGGATGAGTGTTTCTTATGCTACAATACTCAAACCCAGTTTAACAGAATCTCTTTCTATGTTTGATGACCACTTCAAGTAACTAGCAAAATACCTGCCAATAGTCACTAACTTCCTTATGCTATTGGAACACTACTTGGAAAATTGCCAAACACGCACTTCAGAGTAGAGCTGCATAGAACAACTTAATGGCCACTGAATATTTTCTGGCTAGTTTTCTGTATCTTTAAAGTGAATGTAAAATGACCTAATGATACAAGATTTGGGTGATTTTTGATATTAGGGATGTCTGACAAATAATCTAGTGGCAAACATCAATTATAAATGGCCTCTTCTTGATATGTAGAACTTTTGAATATTTTGTTAGTGATGGTTAGAAATCAGTATCTAAAGGGGCGCCGGGGTGGCTCAGTCAGGTAAGTGTTTGCCTTTGGCACAGGTCATGATCTCAGGGTCCCGGGATCGAGCCCCACATTGGGCTCTCCGCTCAGCGGCGAGTCTGCTTCTCCCTCTGCCTCTGTGAGCCCTCTCCGTCTGTGATCGCTTTCACTCTCTCAAATAAATAAATAAAATCTTTAAAAAACATTTTAAAAAGAAATCAGTATCTAAAATATAACCTTAGCTATGTAAGCAAAATCTACTCTGATAAAGGGATCATAAAGAAATAACCTAGACAAGTCTATGGGAAACCCAAAATGACTTTCTTGTTATGAACTCATGGTCCAAACTGAAATATTTTATCCCATTTTGGGAATAATGCTATTTGCTATAGTGATAATCCTGATTTGGGAGACTTGTAATAGTCAGGATTTATGCTGCCCTAATGTCAAGGGTGTACTAAATAATTCCTTTGTGTTAACACCCTGCAAATAAACCTGAGAGATTTACAACTACTATTTATTAAATCTTAGAGTAGATTTGTTTATTAAGATTGCTATCTTCCTTAGGTCTTAAGAAGAAATTTTAATTTTGTATCAGAATAGAATAGGGTTGTAATAGTTTGGAGTGAGGTTGGGGGTAAAGAGTAAATGTCTCAAGGTCAGAGAGTCTTATAAAAATGACAGAGGTGCCATGCAGATCTCTGAATCTAGACACCATGTGTAGATTCTGCTCCCTGCCCCTTCCTACCTCTTAGGAGTCTTAGAATTTAATCTAGGATTTTAAGGTTTAATCTTAATTTTGTAATCTTTTTTATTAAAGCCAAAAATACCCTAATTAAAATGGATTGTTATCTGTGCTTATTAGCCCTTAGAATCTTGAACCTGGCCTTATTTGGGATCTCCATTGTGTCTTTTCTCATATGCTTGGTCTAAATCCAGAAATATTAGCTAACTTTTCATTCTGCATTCATGGAACTCTAGAACTCTGAATTTGATTTTGCCCATGTGGCTTCTGGTTCTAATTTTTGGCTCCTTAGAGAACCTGACTATACGTGACTCACTATCTCTTATTACTTACTAGAAAACTCCAACTCTCAGCCTCATCTGTCTTACCCTGACAGCCCCCAAAACTCAACTTTAGCACCATATCAATATTTCTTATTAATTAAAAAGTTGAACAATTCAAGCTGTTGTGGATTACCCTTTGAGATTTATGGTTTGTTGTTTTTCTAGTTAGCTCTAATGAAAGGAATTTGACATTTATATAGTTATCACCTTCCATTTAATATTTGTTGAGAAATTAATCTTGATTGGTTCTGAATGATCCTCAGAATATGGGCCAAGTTCATGGGCTTGTGTTTTACAAATGGGTCATGTCACACAAATAAGGATATGACTTTACTCAAAAAATTCTTTAACAAGAAACATGTTATTTAATCGTTCAAATGACTTGTAAGAATGAATTCTTATCACTTATTTGTTAAAGGATTTATTAACTTTCGCTCATGAAATAATGTATTCAAAAACAGCTTATTAAGGAGAGTGGCCATACTAGTATTAACAGAAGCCTCAGAATTCTTTATGTGTGACTGTTCTTCCTGCATGTGAACGGTCCTTTCCTGCACCCACATCCCCTATCCTTTCACACTTTGTTATCTTTATAAAGAGGAAGGAGACAACATACAAAATTAATTTAAGTAAAAGTCTGCATTACAACTGAAAGCCATTAACTGGCAGCCGTTTACTAAAGCACAGGGAAAAATCAATTTTAATTAGTATTTTTGGCTTTAATGAGAAGTGATTACAAAATTGGCATTTTAGCTAATACTGTTGAGATTTATGGTGAGGTGATACTAATTAATTTTCTGTTGAATTGCTATGGGCCTTGAATATCTGCAATAAAATGATGTATTTGCTGATTCCAGGACTGCATCAGCATTTTGGAGTTTTGTAACAAAAGGCTTCTTAATGGTTTACAGATATATTTCACACTATTGCTCCTAAGCTACAGAGTATTATTATTTTTCCCATAAAAAGGCTGTTATAGGCAATCAAATTTCATACGATTTTTAAAATTGGGGACATTTTATTTTAATGTATCTTGAACATTAGCCAAAAAACCCTTTATTTCAAATATAGCTTTCTTTTGTCTAGTTACAAGTGGTAAAAAGAAGACATGATATACTTTATTTAGAGAATATTTCATGAGTTATTTCTCTTTATTTCCTCACTTTTCCTCCTCTCTTGATTATATGGATAGTAAATTGGCTACTGAACCTAGTTACATATTTCCAGATTAATTTGAAAGCAGGAAATAAAAAAAAGAAACAACTAAGCTTCATAATCCACTCTTCTCATATGATTCGAATTTCAAATGCTTTAATTTCAGCTTGCTTTAATTGTGGTTATTTCTTCCTTTTCTTAAAAATGAAAAACAATACTTATTGAAGGCTTTAAAAATTACAATTGACTCTTGAACAGTGTGGGTGTGAGGGTCACTGACCCCCATGTAGTCAAAAATCTGCATATAACTTCAGACTCCCCAAAAGTTAGCTACTAATAGCCAACTGTTAACCAGAAGACTTACTGATTAATATAAACAGTCGATTAATCCATATTTGTATGCTATATGTGATACATACTGTATTCTTACAATAAAGTAAGCTAGAGAAAAAAATGTTATTATGAAAATCATAAGAAAAGATTCATTTATAGTACTCTACTATATTTATCAAAAAAATCCACATATATGTGGATCTGTGCAGTTCAAACCTATGTTGTTCAAGGGCCAACTGTATAAAACTTTCCCCTGCATGCTGAAAATCTGTATCCTTGCATTGATTTTGTTTGACCTTGATTAGAAAGTCATTTTATTCATTTGGTGTTGTTGGCTGTCATAGGTAGATACAGGAGGCATAATCCAGACTTGATTACAAGGATGGCCTATGGAGACAGAGGGGTGGTCTTGGAATCCTGGCTCCACCAGTGATTGGCTTTGTGCCCTTAGGTAAGTAACCTAGGTCTCAGTTTTCTCACCTGTACAATAAAAAATAACTGTATCCACGTCACAATATATTTTGGATATTAAAAATATATAAATACCTTAATGTCAAGCACTCAATAAATACTATTGACTTGTTATCTTAGAAATGAAATCCTGTTTGTATAAGCATTATCTTATTACTTTCTGGAATATGTATAAACTTGGATTATAATATTTTACTTAGACTCCATGTGCAAATCATGCAAGTGTATTTTTATAATGATAAGAACTTAAGTATAATATAAGATTAAATCATTAATCAAAAAACCCCAAATGGTAGAAAATACAAACTTAGGAACAATAGATTCTTAGAATGTTAGATTCTATAGAATAGACTCAAATAACTGAGTCATCTAATCCAGTCTTATTTCTTTTAAAAATGAGTAAGCTAAGGCTCAGAGAAGTTAAGTCATTTATTAATGACTCACAACTGATTGTAAGAGGAAGAGCTAGTCAAGTCTATCCTAGTGGCAAATTTTATGACTCTTATGCATGTGTTTTTGTGTGTCAAAGGGAGGCAATATCAAATCTATCTACTATAGATTAGCAATAACTATATAAAAGAAAGCTACCTTTTATGATGCAGATTTGGGATGACATAACATGGGAAATTGAACGTTAAAAAAGAAAACTCTTGGGCAAAATTTGGACAGGTGGAACAATATAGCTTTTTCTCATTCTTGCCTGAAACATCAGACAAGCTATCATTGAAGCCAACGTACAGTGTCCTACAGACTTTTGGGAAAAGTATACATTCAAAATCTCATCTAAAATTTTAAAAAATTCCACAAACATCCTTCAGAAAAGCCACTGGGGTATATTTTCTACCTTAAAGATTTTAGTTTTTATTTTTTTAACAAGAAAAATACTTTGTTTTCCAAAAAGTTTTTAGAACATGGCACAGATTTCAATACATATTTACTAATCAGATCTCATATGAATAGCCCCCTTCTACCCGCCTTCCTCCAGAAATACTCTTCACCTCATTTGATTGATGTGGCCTCATATTTGGGACCCACAAGATGTATAGGAGGCATCCACAAGCCTAGGTGCTCTGCTGATAAGAACACATGCTTTTCTGTTTGTTTGTTTTTCAGGTACTAGAGGATCAGAATTTTAAATCAGGAAGGGGTATTCCGAATTATTTATGCTAAAATCCTCATTTTGCAGATGAGGAATTCAAAGCGTTGGAGGAATTATAAAACTTGCCATTGTTACTCAGCCAGTATGAAGCAGATCTGGGAACTACAATTCTGGCAGTTTAAATCATAATTGAATAATTTTTTTCTTTATTCCATATATCCAGTAGCTTACAAATCAGTTAACCATTTGGTTTAAAATGTGCTTCATAGCACACTTACATTCCACGTAATATATTTTAAGAGAAAGATTCTCTTGGGTACAAGGTGAAATAATGGAGGTACAGATCTTGGGTGGTTGCTGGGATGTAAATACACAGCACTGTTGAATTTTTGACATATTCTTCAACTTTGGTCATTTTGTAGTCTTCGTCTTTATTGGTCCAGAAAACTTGATTTTGGCAATGTTTTTAGAGATGATTAGGTTCTGGCTATTTTCTTTGTTAACTAACTTCACCATAATCTTATGGAAACACCAAAATGAGAATATTAAATTACAGTGAGAAATTTAACTTTTGAATGAATGAATTACTCTTTGCTACTCGAAGAAAAGTCTATATGGGATGACAAGTTATCATTGTAAGATTGCACGTAGGTGTAGAGAAGGGGAAATTGGTTGTATCCTCTCGATGATTTAGGTCACTGAGATGATTGCCAGATGAATTTATTTCCATGCCCAGAATTCAAGAATACTCACTGCAGGACTGACTTCAAGGGCATGTGACGTGTACTGTCACACAGGGCTCACATTCAGAAGGGACACTTTCTTGGTTTAATGCTCTGCTGTTGTGGTAGTGAATTCTTAATAATGTTGTCTTTGAACTTGCGTTTTGTAAGTGGAATCTGATGGGACAATGGAACATGTCTGTGAACAGAGGAGATACATGCAATGTGTATCCCTGCTGTGTCCTGTCACTTCATTCTCATGCTACATTCAAGATGCTCCATGAGCACAGCATCCAGTGGACCCCAGGTGTGTGGCAGTTCAGAGAGACTCAGTGCTCATTACTTGTACTGAGCAAGCAGGGTGTTGACAGCCCAAGAGGCCATGCTTTCCATAACCAGAACTTTCTTAGAATGCAGAAAGAAGACAGTGGTATTTTAAGAAACACAAATGACCAAGTAACTCTCTTCTTTCTTACTCATGTTACTTCCCTGTATTAGCCAACCACTTACGCTCAAAATGAGGACAGAGAAGGAAAAAGAAAATTAGAGCAACCTATAATGTTTTTTCTTTTCAGTGCTTTCCTACTTATTGGTAAGCCAAAGATGAAAAATATTGGTAAAATTGCATGTATTAAAAAGTGAAATAAAAACAGTTGAATCAGTTTTGTGCTGTGTTTCCACTTTCCTGGTAAGAATGAAATACATGGGGCACCTGGGTGGCTCAGTCGGTTAAGCGTCTGACTTGATTTTGTCTTGGGTCATGATCTCAGGGTCGTGAGATCGAGCCCCACATCTGGCTCTGCACTCAGCGTGGAGTCTGCTTGGGATTCTCTCTCTTCTTCTGCCCCTCCTCCCTGATCTGTCTCTCTCAAAATAAAATTTTAAAAAAAGAATGAAATACACAATAAATAGTAAAATAAAATAAAGCATGACAATCGAGAGAGACTGCAGAAGAAAGGAAAAGCTTTATTTTTTAGTACCTTTAGTGATACGTTTTCCTGCTCTTTTTTTTTTTAAGATTTTATTTTATTTATTTGACAGAGAGAGAGATAGCGAGAGCAGGAACACAAGCAGGGGGAGTGGGAGAGGGAGAAGCAGGCCTCCTGCCGAGCAGGGAGCCCGATGCGGGACTCGAATCCCAGGACCCTGGGATCATGACCTGAGCTGAAGGCAGACGCTTAACGACTGAGCCACCCAGGTGCCCGTTTTCCTGCTCTTTTAACAAGAGGCCCTGCATTTTCATTTTGCTCTGAGCCCCACAAGTTGGGTACCCAGTCCTGACTCATTGTGATCCTTAAGAGAACAATCTGTATTATTCTGGAAATACACTGTTTTCCTGTTTTAGGGCTTCTGATTTTCTGGATTTTAAGCAGATTATCTTCTTTCTATTGAATGGGGGGAGGGGGACTTTTTCCCTTCAGAGAGATCGCAGTATAAGTGATTAGATAAGCTTTTATTATATCAATAATAACTCAGTCATGTGTTTTTAAGATTGTGTCCTGGTCCTCTTAATTAGATTTTGAATTGATTTTGAGTTACCCAAGTCTATTCTTCAGATGGCTAATTTTATCCCACTTCACAAAGTTGTTGTGAAGCCTGTATTTATATATTCAATAAATATTCACTGAGCAGCTGTTAGATGCTGGACACTGTGCTAGGTGCCAAAGATTCAGCAGTGAGTAAGAGAGGTTCCTATACCTTCATGTAGAATACATTTGAATGCAGGAGATAGACAGTGACAAGGAAGTAAAAAGGACAAACCTCTCAGGTTTAGATGAATGCTGTGATGAGAATAAACAGGGAGATGAGGAAAAAAGTAATGAGAGGAGACCCTTTTGGTAGGATGTCCAGGAAAGGACTGTATAAGGCCAGTGTATAATTTCTGAGATGAGACCAGAAGAATGGGTCAAAATTCTGAGAGGAGAATGCTCTAAGCAAAGCAAACAAGAATTACAAAGGCCTAAAGATGAAAAACTCTTGGTATAGTGGGTTGAATGTCCATACCCCAGAACCTATGAATATGATCTTATTTGGAAAAAAGAGTCTTTGCAGACGTAATTAAGTTAAAGATTTTGAGATGAGATTGTCCTAGATTAACAAGGTAGGCCCTAAATCCAGTGAAAAGTGTCCCAATTATAGATGGAAGAGGAGAAGACAAAGCCACAGAGGAGAAGGCCATGATAAGGCAGAGACAGAGATTGGAGTTAAGCTGCCATAAGCCAAGGAATACCTAGAGCCATCAGAAGCTGGGAAAGGGCAAGGAAGGATTCTTTCCTAGAGTCTTTGGACAAAGAATGGCCCTGCCAACAACTTAATTTTGAGTTCCTGGCCTCCAAAACTGTGAGAGAATAAACTGCTGTTGTGGTAAGCCACCCAGTTTGTGGTGACTTGTTATGGCAGCCTCAGGGAACTAATACACTGATATACATTTTTTGAAGAACAGAAAGGAGGCCACAAAGTAAGCAAGGTGGAGAAAACTGAGAGATTAGAGAAGCAGGCAGAAGCCAAATTCTGAGGTATTGGGTAACCCATGCGAGGGAGCTGGAATTTTAGTCTAAGGGTCATGGGAAGCCATTGATAGATGGGTATTAATCTAGAGTATCATTTGGTCTACATTTAAGCAACAGTGCAAAGAATGGACTGTCAGGTAGAGAGAGTGAAATAGGAAGACTATGGTAGTTGACCAACTGAGAGGTGACAGTGGCCCAGACTAGTCTGGTTGTCCCAGAGATGGAATGAGGGAAACAAATTGAGATCTATTTTGAGATAGGAACGACAAGACTTGGTAATGGATTGGATGAGAGAAATCAAAGATGACTTCTGAGATTTTATTTCAAACAAATGGCTAATGAATGCTAAAGTTGTTTACCAAAATGACAATCACCGGTAGAAGACAAGGTACTCACTGTTGAGGGTGGAAATCAGGAGTTCCCTTAGAACACAGTAGAGGTTTAAAAATGCAAATGAAAATGTTATTTAGGTAACATTAGCTGAGATAATGTATGCTAAAAGCCTGACTAATTGCACTTATGTATTGCTCAAGAAAATGAATGTGTCCTCTAACATTTAATGATGACTTAATTTTCTTAGTTTAGTTTTCAGAAGATAACCATTTTATCTCTTGGGGACATCACTCTGCAATTCTATTATAGCAGTAAT